AGCGTGGTGATTCCTGGGCACATCACTGTGTGACTGCACACAGACAGGTGGAAGGTTCGGACTTGGTCCTGACATCCCAGCTTCCCTGGACTCCAGCAAGGTAGGATCTGACTGAAGCATATTAATTACTTTATTCTCCTCAGAGAAGTCTTTGTCCCTGCTGTTTGAGAAAGATTCTTTAAAAGGTGTGACTCACGGGACATATTTATCAGCTGAATCACTTTGAATGATTTGGGCAACATCTCACATCAGCAAGCAGGGTATGCAATGTTACTTTTTTTCCCTCAATGTGCTAAAATCTCTCCCAGTGATAAAAGATCAAAAAGTAAACTACAAGCAAAAAATGCCAAAGATGTCCTATAGAAAGCAGCACATAAGGTGGACTAAGCAGAACTGATGAACTTGTCCCAGTATAACTGTGGATTTATAACACTAAAAAAATATTTATATGTTAAATGTTTGCTAGAATAAGCAAAACATACAGTGAAAAGTAGTGAAAACTATTCCTTGGGTAAACAAGTACCTTAGGTGAGTATACCTGTCAGGATGAAGAAAACATATCAAGCAAAATCCTGCTCTCACTGAGGACAATGGCTTTATAAAAACAGTTTATCACATGCTTTTTTATATATTCAGAAGGTGCAGATTTAAAAAATGTGGTAATACCACAGGTGAAACCAATCAATAGAAATTGCCTGAAAATTGTCTGCCAAGCCTACACCATGAGTTATTTCATATAGTTTATACTAGTTTGTCTATGCTAGTAAAAAAAAATAAAATATAAAATGTGGACAGAATTCTGCCACAGCACCACAGCAGTATATTTTATTGCACAATATTCAAAGTAGGTAGTGTAATATCCAGCCCTGTCAATGCCCCAGCATTTTGTTTTTGAGGCAGTAAGTTTTTATAGAGGTTTTGGTTTAGAAAATCAAGTAATAACTTGCAAAGAGCAATATTTTGTTTGTTCATATAATTTTAGATTTAACTAAACCTAAGCCTCTCAGATCAACCATTTGGATTTTTAAATAGCAAAGACCTCAATTTGAAAAACTAAGCATATACACAAACCCATCATCCTTGCTGCTAAGTGAGAGGCAATGACACATGCAATAGCTTTCATTTGACCTTTTTGTGTAGGCAAAAGGTAGCGTGGAAGAGCCCATTTGTCTCACAGAAGTTCTGTAGAACTTAATCCCATCAGTGAGAACAAGGATGATCACAGGATTTACCCCAGATTTTGAAGTTATAGGATTCACTGTTGATTGACTCCCATGGGGATTCATACTGTCCTACAGAAATGCAAAATTCCATATTCATTCAAACGAGAGGTGGTAAGGCACTTGCTTATGAACCTTCCTGTTGCTACTGGCCCTAATATGAATTATTGCTGTGGTTATCATCACTTTTGAGTATGGCCTTATCAAAACCAGCACTAGTTTTACTATTGCACTGTGCATGGATATGTATACATACATATACACTGGAACATCCACGATCTTCATTTTTATGTATCAGCATCTCTGCTTATTTATTCACACAAAGTAGTCGAAGCTGAATGAAGAATTCTACCTACAGGTAACTTGGATAAGCTGCCAAACCACTTAGTTCTAAAGTAATGTAAATATTCCTCTAACGGTTTTGTGAAATTATTAAAAACAACAGTAATAAATACAAAGGCAAACACCTAAGTAAAAATCATGTTGTTTGTATTACTGTATCTTTAGTCACTGTGACAGTATAAAAAAAAAATCTACTTCCTCAAAACCAGAAAAAATATTTCAGTAGATATTCTGCTTTTTAGGAGTATGAGGTAACCCAACATGGGTTTGCGTTTCATAGTGAAACTCACAAGGAAAGCAACCACTGAAAAATACTGTTATTTTTAAAGCATACTATTCATTGAAAGAGCTATAACTTGACCTCTCTGATGACATTTTTCTTTAAACTCACAGAATATGGTGCTGAAGGGTAGGCAGTAACAACTTAACTTGAAAATTGGGTTAACAGTTGTTTTATAAAAGCCCTCCAGCACATTTTTAACAAGATGCTCTTGATACTTCAGTAAAGCATCAATATGCCAGAAGTACTCTGGACTGCCTCCTTCTAAGAAGCAACGGGGCCTAGGGGAAAGTGTCCCTGCCCATGGCAGGGGGGTTGGAACTAGATGATCTTTAAGGGCCCTTCCAACCCAAACCCTTCTATGATTCTACGATTACTAACAGTAAAACCTCTAGAAAGATATTTTATATTCCAGTTTTAAGAACTTTTTAGCATAAACTGAACATTATTATTTCAAAACTGCTCTAACAGTGGGGTTTTAGAAGAAAAAAAACCCTAAGTATATTTTCTATCCTTAGAAAACATGGATAAATTATCTCTGTTGTCTCTTTTGAAGATACCTTCACCTTGTAGGATTGAGAGGGGACAGAAAAATGACATAAAACTGCCTCTCCAGCTCCTATTTCAGCTTTTCCTACCTGCTTGCCTTCTGTGCATGGAAAGATGCAAAGGAGGCAGTGTGGTCCTGCACTGCTCACGGGATCCATTGGAATCCCTGTTAGTCGCATTTCCCTAGATCCAAGCCCCAGATAGGAACTATCTGAAGACAATTTCAAGGGGCTGGTCCAGGCACTAATGTTTAGCAGCCCTTTCCTACTCTGTAAGACAAATTTTCAAAATCAGGTTTGCGATATTTAAAGCAAATAAATGAAACCCATTTTAATTTAAATATGTATTTTAAATCACAGTTTTCAGTTCGAAGACTAGTAGGAGTAAATTTAACACAGATAAGTCAGTCTCAAAAAGTCAGCATTTGTTAAAAATTATGACAAATTACATGTGAACTTTTTCTCTATGCCTACAGTATGTAGTAATAGTCCTTTCCTGTTGAGTGGGAGCTTTAAGTGTAAAGGGAGGAAGAATAATGGGCAAATTGTACAAAGTTATTCACTGGACAACTTCATGAAATTAGGTACTTTTCTTTTATGTATAAAGAATTTTCTCACCACTGAGGTAAGTAAAGTACTGAGCTGCCTACAGAGGTAGCTAAACTTTCATCAGCAGCAAGACGTGAACAAAGGAGAGTGACAGAAGAACAAGTGCAGTGGATGATACCACTTGGACAAAGGGGTTATCTTAGATAACCTTTCCCATCTTTATCACCACTGCTGCTTTAATACAGAGACATATGCAATGAGCAATTGTAACAATTTTTAATGACTGTCAAATCAATTATAGTAAGTATCATACAGAGTAATTACAGTTCCTACCAGCCTACCAAGCTAAAAAGTATGCCTTAGAACTAACTCCGTATAGTGCGGCAAGAGGGAAAAAAAGAAAAAGCATTGTGTAACACGTCCCAAAAATAAGATTAGGGACTGGGGGAGGGTATTGTGACACATGAAAGCTGCAGGGGAATTAGAGCTATAATTCTCAGAATTTTTATATTGTATCTTACTATGCTCCATTTTTTGCCAATTGTTTACCAAAACATATACATTTTCTTTTATTAAAAAAATATCAATTCAATATGTTAAAGCACCAAATGACTCTAACTGAAGGTGTGATCATCAAAGTGATATTAACTATTTTAAGGAAATCTCTGAAAGAAAAGATGCATTACAAATATTACAGTTACTTTAGATTACAAGTACTTGACACCTACTAAATGAAAGTAGGAATCAATTAAGACTCTTTGTTATGAAGTTGTCACCATGTGAAGTTCCTGTGTTCCCGGATATTAGATGTAGACATGCTTATCAAACTTCTTCTTTCGGGAGAGAGGAAAGATAGCATTCAACACAGAAAACAGAAAAATTTTAGGGCAATTTTACTATTTATCTATTTGAAGCAGCCCTGAAGTTTAGAGTATTAGTACCAGTATGAGCAGAAATTTCAGAAAGACCAACAGTAGGTATAAATTGAATGAAATTTGTCACATCAGTGCAATTAATGTATACAATTCTCTATTGTGTCTCATACAGGTGTACAGTATTCTCTATTATCTAGAAACATTGATACTAGGGAAAATGTTTCAAATCAAGTCCACAGCTAAGTCACTTGCTTAATTTTTTTCAAAGTGCTTGATATGAATTCCTAAGATAATTTAGACCTGATGGATCTCTCACAGCAAATTTTTGTGATCCTGTGACAGCTTAAATGAAAAGATTTATTAAATTTTGCTGCTGTCAAGCAGGTCTGAGTAGCCTCTAGAAATACCACACAGAACAGCTGCTGCTGATTCTATTTTGCTGGTGACCACTGCATTCATATAACTGCACCAAATGACAGCTGAAATAATCTACTTGTATTTTAAAATACAATTAGTTGTGCAAGGTTTCATGTAAAGATATTGTCTGCCTCTACCAGCCAAAGAAGATGCTGATACCGCAGAAACACACTCTGTTAAAAAGTACAATACATTTACATAAAAACATTGAACCTTTCAGACTGCAAACCTCTTCAGACTCAATTTGTTTGTTATTACAGCAAACTCTCTGTTGTACTAGGTAACTAGTACTGATACTATGAATATATACAAAAAGTATCTGCCATTTCTCAGGTTCTTTCTCTGCTTTGGAGACATCAACAATCTGTTTAAGTTTTAAAAAGTACAGGTTGAAACTGACAATTTTAGATAGTGTTACTGAACAGATACCTAACCTAGTAGCTTAATCAACCTGTCACACTGCCATTGTAACTGTGATCAGGAAAGTTACAGTCCGGAGATACAATTATATTGTTGCAAGGAAGTTACATTACTTCATTTAATTGTAACAAAAAGTACAGTAAATCTATCCTTGAGCTACAAGATGACTTGGGATAATATTTATGCTCTTCATTGAAACTTCATTCAAGAAAAGAAGAAACTTCATAAACTCTTCAAGGAAATTTCTTGTCTGTGGGGACAAACAGGTTTGCTCCATGTAAAATCTTAGAAAAATATATTTATAATAAATAAGAAACCAGATTTCAATAACACTAAGCAGACGTTAAAGGTCTTTTGCCTTTTTTAAGAAGATCTTTTATGTATGATTGAAGTTTATACAACACTCCAGAAAAGCCATGTGTTAGATTGAAAAATAAAATCAGAAGCATTTTCTGTCATATAAGTATACATGAAAAAACGAGAACGTTAATGTCTTAGAAAGTGTGTGTCCAGCTTTGTACGTTACTCATTTAACAAAGCAGAAAATAAGATACTGTACTTTAAACAAAAAGCTACAGTAAAAGGACATTTTGAAATTTACACAAGTTTGAGTTCATAAACATTTTGGTTGCTCCATAACAGTTTTCATATAAAATGAATAAAAAACCCTTGGACAGCTTTCATCACTCTTGACTACTTTTCACTTAAATGCACACAGACATACTTTATATAGCAATATACTGATGTACTGTTAACATGGATATTAAACTATTATTACTGCTTTTTTAACTGAAATGTGCATTATCGAATCAATATTATCTGAATTGAAATACTCATACATTATGTATTCCCATCATGTTGTTAAGTATAAAAACATGAAAATATAACTTTACATTATTTCCGTTATATACATCAGTTCAGGCTTGACAAAGATTTTTTTACGCTATGATTTTTAGAGGAATAAGCCCAGAGGTACAATAAATAGCTTTCCACTGTATACAGTAATGCATTTCTACTTTTTAAAAAAGTTTACATTACCATATGAATATTACTTTAGTTTGGTCATTCTAGCAATTAACATTAAAAATCCAAATGCATTCCCCAACATTCCTGATGAGGAGTAATGCACAGAACACCTATGAATTACAGATGCATCAAGAAATGGTTTAGTTTAATTAGAGGGAAGTATTGGTAGGTTTGACATTGAAAACACTGTATACACCTCTTCTGCTGACCACACTGAGAGTATACACTGTGTTCACCTGCTTGCAGAAACAGCCTCAGAGTTTGTACCACAAGAAGGGATTTCAAGTTTCTGATAAATGCTTTGCCTTCTCCAAAGCTCAGTAAACATTATACTTCAGTCTAAGAAATGGATTCCAACTAAAACTGCAAGTCATATTTCAAATTTTATTTAAGTCCAAAGTAAAATATATATTTACTGATACTGCATGAGGCAACGTATCCACAATGCAGAAAAACGTAAGCTTTTCAACCAAATGTACAGAATTTTATCTACAGGGAAAGCTAGAGAAACATGATGTTGCTTTGATTTGCATTAGCATTTAAATTAATATTATTGCACCCCTCCTAGGATTCCTTTTTGCTTTTTAAGTAGTTATTGTTTTTAAATACACATAATTAAAACATATGGTAACTTCAGATAGCAAAGAATATTCATAATGATTAAAATTCAGGAAAATTTTCATCAGTACAGACTTGTATCTAATTCGAGTTATCAATCAATTAAAAAAGACATTGCCAAGGTTTTGGGTTTTTGTTTTCATAAGAAAGAACTTCAGTAGCTACAGCTTAGAATTACCTTTTAACAGTTTAAAAACTGCTTCGTTAAAGAAAAAATTTGACAACCGCATTTGTTTCACACTTTAACAAAATATTTATCACTGTTTTACTGCTTGCCATTTATCGATTTTTACTGATACTCTTCTCTCTCTGTATACGTATTTGTGAACTCAATTGTACAAAAGTAGAGATAGATATCAACCAAATCTTTGGATCATTAAGTCTCTGCATGTCAGAGCTAAGAGGAGCTCTAAAACAGCACCCATCTGACTCTTCATGTGCCAGTATCCGCTCCAACCCAGAACAACCTTGATCTTCAGAGTTCAACATGCATATCTGAGCATCACAGCTTGGGCTCGTCTGTAGGAAAAAAACTGTCGAATGGATTCAAGTGAGTTGGGAGTGGCGACACTGCCAAAAACTGAAACATTGACCCAACCTTGACAGTGTCCTTTTAGATTTCAGACTCTTTATAACCCAACTAGTAAAATTAATGGAACACTTGCAAATAAAACCATAGAAAAAAGTTTATTTCAAATGTCAAGCATTGCCAAGTAAATTTTATATTAACACCAAATGTTAAAGAATAGAATATACAGCAAAGTTTTAATAACAATATTAAATTACAAGATTTGAACCTTTAATTATTATTTCTTCTCTTCTCAACATTACATATTTGGCTTTGAAAAATATGGAACTGATGCCTTAAGCCTTACTTTCATATTCCACTTCCCCGCAGTCTAATTTCTTTTTTTTTTCTTTTTTTTTTCTTTTGTCATATTTAACCATTATGGAAGCAAATTTATTTAAAAGCCAGTTTTTGTTTGTGAAAATACCTAAAAATATTTTTTTTCATTTTATATGGGTTTTTTTCTTATAAAACATGTCACATCTTGATGCAATTGATGTCAAGTGTGCTTAAGTCAATATGAACCAAGGGACTAACAACAGTGGCTGCAGAAACTGGTGTGTTGCCTGTACAACGACTTCAGTTAGATTACAGTACTTCCATGTTAGCTGTGCATGTCAGTCAAGCTTCATCTTGA